GTAGACTTGAATCGTGGCCTTGTCGGCCTCTATGCGAATCACTTCACCCACCAGTTCATCGTGGCCAACTTTGCAGAGCTCGTACATGGCGACACCGATCATGTTCTCGGCGACAATGACCGGACCAGAGACGGAAAAGACAGATCCATTCTGGTGGTCGCTGCCGACACCACTCTCTTTTGAGGCAGGCATCCTTCTGTATGTGCGAGCAGTTGTGTGCAGGGTCTGGAGTGGTTGCGGAAAGGCGAAGACAGAAGAGCTGTTGTCAGAGCTGGGACCCGCAGGCTCTCCCTCGTCAAGCTCGTCTTCGATAAGACTGGGGAGGCCAAGCTGGAGGTGGAGATATTTGAGGTCTGAGACGATAGCAAGGTCGTCGATGCTCTTGCCAGTTATAAATTCAATCACCGACTTTCTATGTCTGAGGCGAGGACGACCAAATCCAAGCATATGAAATCATCTTTTTGCAGGAAGCTGTCTAGGTGCACTTTTGAATTTTGGGGGGGCGTGGGCAGGCGGCTGCGATTAAGTTGCAGGCGCGCCTGGTGATCAGTGAGTTACGCTTCAATGTTCCGCCGACACTGGGAACGCAGTCAAGATGCTCTTTCGGTCGAGTGAGAGGAGACATGTCTATTTACCTGAGACCTGGGATCTGTCTAATACAATCTACTGCCCTCCCAACTTGCCGAACATGTCTGTGATTGACTACGACCTACGCCCTTGATACCTGATTCCTTCTGGTCCCTTGCCTCCCCTGCAGCTGCCATGTCCCAGCTTCAGCCAATGAACAAACCCCACACCCAGCAACCATCTGCCAGCCTTGAGCCCTCCTTGTCAATCACTGGCGACAGCTCAACCTCGCCACATGGCAAAATACCAAGCATCGACGAGGACCATTGGGCCGCCGGAGTCAAGAGGCAAGAGGGCCCAAGTTGTATTTGCAGGACGGAGGAACACTGGTTCTTAAATATGCGCCACAAGCTACATTGCCAGGTATCAACGAAACGTCTTATCTTGGTGCACAAAACTGTCAGGCTCAAGCAGGCTCCAACTTTACAGCAAGAAGTGGATGTGGGATGGTCTGAAACCGGCCTAGCAGCTGCTGGGAGTTGGTGCCAAAGTGGTTGGTCACCGGTGTCGGTTTGCACAAACAAGTGACGGGCGGGCAAGCAGATCAGGTGGCTCACGGCTGTTCTAGGCGCAGTGGGTTTGCTTCGTTCGTACTCGTAGAAACACTAGGCAATGGGCAGTGTTCTGCCCGCAAAGAAGGGTCGATTACTTATATTAGCCTCGAGGGTCGGTGGGTGCCGGTTGTAGTTTAGTTGGAGATACGCTGCTGCTACGGCTGCTACTGGGTAATGCTGCGGGCTGGGGCAAACTTCCCTGTACTGGCTCCGACATCAAGCCGTCCCCATCTCGTCATCTACTCCCTCTTGACTTGGGACCGCGAGCATTTCCCACTCACCACTTACTCCTCTGCAATCCGTCACGACAATTCCTAGTCTTCATCTCCCTCCACGAACCCTCCCATATTCTTCAACCTGCGAATTTCTTGCCGGGAACCCATGCTTTGAATTGGCCGAGCAACCCCGTCAACCTGCGGTTTCCCCTCTGACTTGACGTCCTGGGGCAACTGCCCCCCGATATCAACCGCCAGTGTCGTGACTTTTCTGCTCCTCTGCGAGGACCTCTGGCTGTGCCATTGAGGGATTTGGCTTTTCTTCTCCTCGACTCGTTCAAAGTGCCACCCAGCAACTATACTAGCACGGAAGGGCGTTTGGATACAGCTGCGTGGCTCTCTTCCCTCGCCGAAGGAGCCCTCGCAGTGATACTGGCGGCTTTGCCGCCACCACGAGCTGGCACACCACCCTTTCACGAACTACAACCTAATCACTGCCGACGACCCATCCACCTCGACTCACCCTGTACACTCTACCTACACAGATTCTAGTTCCCCACCCCCAGATCCATCTACAATTGAAGACGCTTCCCATTCAACTGCCATCCCGCTTTCGACCATCCCAGAAAATATCTCGACAAGCCAGCCACCTATAGAGCAGGTACAGGCTTCTCAAGAGCTGGGGAGACGCAGGAGAAGGCGATCATCCTTTGAAAGAATCGCTGAAACCGGCAACAACCCAGGTGGACCAAGTCAGGCATCGGAAGACGCATTCCAACAGCCTCGATCCGAAGGCGAACATAGGCCGAAGCGCAGGCGAACCGACAGATCCAATATGAGAGTCGATGAAGACTCGGAACAGGTATTTTCCAACGGTCATCCTGCAAGTTCCAACGGTTCCACCCCAAGGAAGCCCCTTCACTCTAGTTTGAATGGACATGTCAATGGATCTAGCCCTTCCTACACAAATGGCACCTCCAAAAAATTGGCTCCTGGCCGGTCAGCCACATACAGAGGGCATAACCGAGAAGAGGTAGTCAGAATTCTCATCCAGGGCCTGTTAGATATGGGATATTCCGACGCCGCCAATGTCTTATCAAGCGAGAGTGGCTACGAGCTGGAAAGCCCTTCAGTCGCTGCCTTTCGAAGTGCCATTTTGGAAGGTGTATGGTCCGAGGCAGAAGCAATACTGCTAGGGTCACGCCAGGATGACCGTGGTGGTTCGCTTCCGGAGGATGACCAATATGGGGAGGGCCTCGTACTTGCCGAAGGTGCTGATAGAGGGCAAATGTTGTTCTTGATTCGGCAGCAGAAATTTCTGGAGTTACTCGATCGACGAGACCTAGGCATGGCCCTCATGGTGCTGAGACAAGAACTGACACCCCTGGGCCATGACATCCACCAATTACATGCTCTCTCAACCCTGCTCATGTGTCCGCCCGAGGATCTCAGAGACAAAGCACACTGGTCAGGCACGGTGGAAGAGTCCAGAAAGATGCTGCTGCAAGACCTGTCTCGGTCAATCGCTCCCTCCGTCATGATTCGAGACCACAGGTTAGCGGAATTGTTTGACCACATAAAGCAGAGCCAGATCAACCAGTGTCTCTATCACAACACAGCAGAACCTCCGTCGCTGTACTCAGACCATATCTGTGATCGCGATGATTTCCCGTCACGGACATTTCTACAGCTGGAGGATCATACTGGTGAGGTCTGGCACGTGCAGTTCTCTCATGACGGCAGCAAGTTGGCTACGGCAAGTCAGGACCAGACTGTCAACATCTACGAAACAGAGACCTTCAAACGTCTCCATACCCTCACTCATCACTCGGCCGAGGTTACCTATGTGTCTTGGAGCCCCGATGACACCAAAATTGTCACCTGTTCGCAAGATTGCAAGGCACGCGTCTACGATGTCGAGACTGGGAGGCTGGAGGTGACTCTTGAGCACCAAAGCGTGGACCAAAACTACGGCATCACTGCCGCCGCTTGGACTCCCGACTCTCAGGGCTTCGTGACTGCAAGTCACGACCGCAACTCGCAGCTGTGTTACTGGAATCTCCGAAGTCCGAAGCGCGAGAAACCCGAGCACATATGGCCCAGGGGGTTCCGTGTACAAGATGTCGCCATCACCGAGGATGGGAACTGGCTCGTTGCTCTTGACCCTCAGAACATCATCCGCGTGTTCCACATGCACTCGTATCGGGAAGAGCCGCCTATTAAGGTCGCGGGCAAGATGACAAGCATTACTTTAAGCCGGGATGGCAGTACAGTGCTGGTCAACTTGGCCATCGGTGAGGTTCATATGATTGACTTGGTCACGAGAGACACTATTCGCAAGTTCCGCGGGCAAAAACAAGGCGAGTTTGTGATCCGGAGCTGCTTCGGGGGGGCTGCGGAGAATTTTGTGGTCAGCGGCTCGGAAGGTGAGTATTTCTGTTGGCTGTGTCCAGAGATATACTGATTGAGCGACTAGATGGCTTGATCTACGTGTGGCACAAGGAGAACGAATCGCTGATCGAGAAGCTGTCCGGGCATGGTCGGGGTCAAAGTGGTAAGGAGTGTGTGACGACTGTGGACTGGAACCCCAGAGACGCCCGTATGTTTGCGTCTGGGGGTGATGACCGTAAAGTGCGAATGTGAGTTCGTACATGTCCTTGGAATGGTCTGACGTTGCTAATGGCATGCAGATGGACCAACATGCAGCCACCAGTCGAGGAGGGCCTTCCCGGCTTTCGCACCAATCTGAAGCAGTTTCTCATCCGAGAAGAGTCAGCGCGTATCAGCGCCCTGAGATCGACGCTATAGGACAACAACGGGGAGCAAGGTATCAAGTCTTTGACCGGAGTTGGTGGCATTTGACAAGCAACCACGCGGATCTATGTTTATGCTAATGAGGGACGAATTGCACAGATATAGAGAGTTTGGATACAGCATTGCATTTGGAGGTGTCTTGACAGTGTGGTTTGTTTTGAACCGAAACAAGGGCAAGTCAACGCCTGACAGGCACTCGCATCAGGCCAGGGGGTTTTCTGGAAGGGGGATTCATTGTCGGCAGCATCGAAGCATCCAACTGAGAATGAAGCTTGGATGTGTGGGCGGGAGCGAAAGAGCATGTTGAGGATCAGCGATTACTGGCATGTCTGATCGCAAGGCTACCTAGATTTAGCTACCTTGAGCTATCTTTACAACTACCTAACACCTGACTACTTTGCTCAATACCATGATTGCAAAGACCCATCGGTGTGCCCATCGGTTTGTTGTTTTAGTTCCAAGGAGGGGAAAATTGGGTGCTGAGAAGAGAGTGCTGAGAGGTGAGTGGGTGGGCTATGTCGGTCCCAAGGCATCAGGCCATCACCTGGCTTTTCTGTTGTCATCTCAGATCGTGATTTCCATCCTCTTCAGAAGACACAAGGACGAGAACGCCGCAATTCATGGCCCTCTTCGAGAAAGTTCTTGCGTGGGGGAATTTTTGACTCGTACTGGCGCCATCCGCCATAGAGATTGAATGGTGCCTGGGCTGGTTGCCACCACCACGACGTCTACAAGTAACAGTGCTGTTGAGATAGCTGTCGCGTCATCAGAAATGAATGGTGCCTGCTGAATGTCGCCGGCAACGCGCAACCTTCCATTTCTATTTGGGCGCCAAGAACCGAGTGGTCGGGCAGCTGCAAGCCCTGGAAGCCCTGGCAGCATAGCACCAGCGGCCATCACGCCCACGCCGCCCACAGCGACTCCGGCCCCCAAAGTTGCAGGCGTGGCCACCGCAACTGCATCACCACTGACGCTTTCGTCCCAAGATTTGGCCAACATTCACAACTTCGATAATATCACTCCCCATTTTACTCACCACCCTCAACCGCACCCTCCTCGCAAATCCCTTGACCTCGCTCTACAGTCCTCTGCCCGAACCAGCATCGAATCAACCCGCTCCGATTTACTTCAAGATCCTCTTCCGCTGACCTTTGCCCCGACCATGGCGGCAGCACCGGGGGGCTACTCGTAAGTTTCCCGCCGCAAAGTGTCAACAACTCGATGAGCCCGAGTGTCCTCTGACAATTTCTGCAGGATCAACGTAAACGATCCCACCCTCATTTCCCTTGTCAACAAACTCCAAGATGTCTTCACAACCGTCGGGGTACGTCATCAATCAATGCAATCCCACAGTCGCCAGCTGTTCTGTTCCCCCAAGCTGACCGTCTCTCTGCCAGGTCCAAAATCCGATCGATTTACCTCAAATTGTCGTAGTGGGTTCGCAATCCAGCGGCAAAAGCTCAGTCCTTGAGAACATAGTGGGAAGAGACTTGTAAGCGCAATCCTACCGACATTCTATCCCGGCTTTCCAATCAACCCGCTGACCCCTGTTCCAGTCTGCCTCGAGGCTCCGGAATCGTGACTCGCCGACCCCTCGTCCTGCAATTGATCAACAGACCAGTTCCGGCCAAACTCCAGACAAATGGCGTCACCGAGGAGGAGATGAAGAAGACCACCGACAGTCAAGCCAACGTGGATGAGTGGGGAGAATTCCTCCATCTTCCGGGCCAGAAATTTCATGATTTCAATAAGATCCGGGATGAAATCGTCAAGGAGACAGAAGCAAAGGCGGGCAGAAATGTCGGCATTTCACCACAACCCATAAACTTGCGGATATACTCGCCTAATGTGCTCACACTCACATTAGTGGACTTGCCCGGCTTGACAAAGGTCCCTGTGGGAGATCAGCCACGAGATATCGAGAAGCAGATTAAAGAGATGGTCCTCAAGCAAATACAAAAACCCAATGCGATCATTCTAGCGGTTACAGCTGCGAACGTCGATTTGGCCAATTCAGACGGTCTAAAACTGGCTCGGGAAGTCGACCCTGAAGGCCAAAGAACAATTGGTGTCCTGACCAAGATCGACCTGATGGACGCCGGTACCGACGTGGTTGATATTCTTGCCGGCCGTATCATCCCGCTCAGGCTTGGCTACGTCCCTGTCGTCAACCGAGGCCAACGCGATATTGAGAACAAGAAGCGAATAGATTTGGCCTTGAAAGCAGAAAAGGAATTCTTCGAAAACCACCCCTCTTACCGGAACAAGGCTTCATACTGCGGCACTCCGTACCTGGCCCGAAAACTCAACCTCATCTTGATGATGCATATCAAGCAGACACTCCCAGATATCAAGACCCGCATCGCGACATCTTTGCAGAAATATAGCCAAGAATTGGAGCAGCTGGGTGCCGGTGACCTACTCGGGAACAACAGCTCAAATATCATCCTCAACATCATTACCGAATTCGCCAACGAATACCGGACTGTCTTGGATGGAAATAGCGCCGAACTGTCGAGCAACGAACTTTCAGGCGGTGCCAGAATTTCCTTTGTTTACCACGAGCTGTACTCGAACGGTATCAAGGCCATTGATCCATTCGACCAGGTCAAGGATATCGATATTCGAACCATACTCTACAACTCGTCTGGCTCATCGCCTGCTCTCTTCGTCGGCACCACTGCTTTCGAACTTATTGTGAAACAACAAATTCGACGACTCGAAGAACCGTCGCTGAAATGTGTTTCTTTGGTTTATGATGAATTGGTCCGCATTCTGAGTCAGCTACTGCAGAAACAGCTGTTCCGGAGATACCCCCAGCTCAAAGAGAAATTCCACGGCGTCGTCATTTCGTTCTTCCGCAAGTCAATGGAGCCGACGAACAAGCTGGTCAAAGATCTAGTGGCAATGGAAGCGTGCTACATCAATACGGGACATCCCGATTTTCTCAATGGTCATCGTGCGATGGCTATCGTGAACGACAGACATAATGCCAACAAGCCGACTCAAGTTGACCCCAAAACTGGTAAACCACTGCCGCCGCAGGTGCCACCTCGGGCCGCATCACCAAGTTTGCCCACTGATGGCTCCGACCAAAACTCGGGGTTCTTTGGATCATTCTTCGCCAGTAAGAATAAGAAGAAGATGGCCGCCATGGAACCGCCGCCAGCGACGCTCAAAGCCAGTGGAACACTGTCCGAGCGAGAGAACCAGGAAGTGGAGGTCATCAAGCTGTTGATCAACAGTTACTTCAACATTGTTCGGAGGACAATGATTGACATGGTACCGAAAGCAATCATGCTTACTCTTGTACAGTGAGTGTCAATGAATGCATACGCCAATTCCCCCCGCTAACAAAATACTCAGGTTCACCAAAGATGAAATGCAACGAGAATTGCTTGAACAACTGTACAGAACACAGGAACTCGACGACCTCCTTAAGGAGAGCGACTATACTATCAGACGACGCAAGGAATGTCAACAAATGGTGGAAAGTTTGAGCAAAGCCAGCGAGATTGTCAGCCAAGTGCAGTAGAGTGGCAAGTGACAGCGGGCGTCTCAGACAGCATCCCTGTCTCCGGAACAAAAGCAAACCGAAGGCGTCTCTCTAGCATGTGCTTGGAAAGGAGGCCGCATTCCGAGTTGTGTAGGAGGCCGGAGGAAGGACGGCCGCAACGGCGTATAACGAGACACAATGGAAGAACGGGCGGCAACCGGTCAATATCGGTTTTTGACCCGCATTTTTCACGCAATCAGCTTTCAGCAGTTATGATACCACAGCCCTGCCGCATCTGTTTTCTGGAGCGATTTGGATTCGGGGCGGAAGGTTTAGATTAGAATGTGACTGACCAAGAACACGCTACGAAATCAACATCAGTGATGGCACCGATGGTGGAGGGTGTTGGTGAGCGCAGAGGGGACAAGAGCAATTAATGGGAATTGATGGCGAGCGACAATCATTGGAGTTCATGTAAGGATCCGCCAGCTGGGCGTCATAGGATACAGATGAACTGCCTAAGGTCAGAATGACATTCATTCAGCTTTCTGTCTCATTACGGAGTACGAGGAACATATTGAAACCGGTTTTCGCTGGTCCAAAAGCGACACATGTCTTATCTCAGCCTTGCGCTCCGCAGAGTACGCAGTGGGTGCGCTGCGTCATTGCTTGGCAAGGCAAGGCTGGCCATCGTAAGCCATCGACACCATTCCCATCGCACGTCTCGCACACAGGCAGATTTTATTCACTGCCTTTGCAAAATGTGAAGACAAATGACCAGAGCCTGGCGCGCTGCGATCTCACGTGGAAGCAAGTCCAACTGTGCGCGCTAGATCAATGGTGGGCCGGATTTCACTTCCCTCCACTTCCAACCTCAATGATCTGCGTTGATCGGTAAATGCCGACCTGTTCTGCTTCTAGCATCAAGCTCTGACGCCTCTCGTTCTCCGATCAAATAGGGCCATAGATCCCTTCGCCTGAACAAAATTACGAGATCCATTCATGGCTGGACGATATATTCCGCCAGCCCTCCGCGCGAGAGGTGGTGGTGACGGCGGTCAGAAACCTCGAAGCGCCAACGACAGCGAGAGCGGCTCCTGCTCTGTGTCCTCGGGCCTACATGGAGGAGGTAAGAGTCGACAACTCACCGCGCGATCAGACGCTCTCCCAGACGGAGATCTCTGCTCTGTGAAAGAAATCGAGCGCCATTTCTGGCCGGACCCAGAATGTTGGACCTCGGGGGGAAAGCAGAAGACGCTGCATGATTCTGCTGCGACTCAGGGAGTGTTGAGTTACGTCCTGCTATTCAAGGATGCAAATCCCCGGTGGCAGGATGATGGAATCATCTTTACAAAGTCGAATTTGGAGTTGTTGCCCGCTGAACTTGCTAATAAAACTACCGAGAATGGACTTACGGATGAGGGTGGCGATGCTTCTTTCGCTTCGAATGGTACCAGTCACGCAAATAACGGTGAAAGTGAAAGAGGTGGACAGGAACATGAAGGGGTCAAACAAGAGGACACACTTGTATCTGCTCCTACCAAATCCGACCAACCACAGCAGCTACAATACCAGCACCCACACCCCATTGCAATCTTCACACAAGTCCGCCGCTCCCAAGGAAATTCCGCTCGTACCTTCAAATTCGCAGGCTACTACCGCATCGTGCGCCTTTCCTTCCTTCAACCCCACTCTCCAGGGCTGGTCCGCATGCTGGAGCAGAAGTGGAGTTTGACAAACCCGCGCACGGGACAGGTCAGACAGAGACAGAGAGATGCGAGTGCGTGGCAAGGGTCTTTGAACATGACATGGGCAGTGATCAAGTTTGAGAGGGACGGAGAGGCGATGAAGAGTCTAGGGCTCCTGAAGATCGAGAGGGTTGAAGATGAGGACGTCGAAGACTTTGAGGGTAGACCAGGGGGCGGTGGTGATGGAGGAAAGAGTAGGAGGGAAAAGAAGGGAGTCAATGAGCTGCTGAGGGAGTTGAGGATGGGTGATGAGGCGAAGAAAGTGAACAAGCAAAGAGACCAAGGCGGGAAAGGGACGCTCAATGATGGTGTGAGTGGTGCAAACGAGTAGGCGCCCTGCATCGAGTCTTGAGAAGGAACGCCAACAACCTGCCTGCCCAATGCTCAGCAATTCAGCAAAAACGACCCGATCAGAGGGGGGAAATGAACGAGGACTTGAATTGAGATTCTATCCGCCAGGTCCAGGGCCTTCTCCTTCTTCTTCGCCGACATCATCTCGATGTCCCCCTGCCACTGAGCTTACCAAAAAGAAAAAGGAAAAAGAAAAAAAGGGCATGTACGAAATATCATCCCCTCCACAACTCAAAATCGAAACGGAAACCGAAATGGAAAAAAAAGGGGAATGGCTATTAATTGAATGAATGGAATGAAACCAGCAAGCACTTTCGTACTCGGTCCTTCAACCACAAACCACGCGCACCCATCGATACTGTGCCACTGTCTGCATACCTTGCTCACATGTTTTACTCTCCTGGGGCTTACATTTATGGCTTCCACGCTTCGGCATTGCTCTGTTCTCGTGACTCTGACTGACGAACTGCATGAATGGCTATCGTCCGTGTGATTGGAATGGGAATCCGGAACGGAGGCGGAGGGGAATATGAAACAAACCCTCCTTACCCTTGCGAAGCTTGAAACGTAGCTCGTATTTGTGTACTTGTGGGGCATGCACCCTTGCAGATGTACCAGTAACAAGTACAAGTACATACTGTATGTAGAGTGGCATCATGCAATCATCACCCGCACATGGCGAGATGGCGAGATGGCGAGATGGGTCAAGATGCAGGGAAATGGTGAGACGGAAACGAGCCGGGAAACGCATTATGGCTTCATCTTCGGTTGGAATGACAGAGCGCCATCTTGCTTCTCCCTACTTCCTACTTCCTACGAACCGAGCGAGCCAATCGTTCAATGTCTAATAGATTGCTACTCAATCTGTCTGCAAGATAACTGTCTGGAGAGCCTGTTCTCTGTAAGCTCGACCGGTTATGTAGTACATACAACAATGCCCAATTGCCCGTATGCAATAGACGAAAAATGTCAACAAGATAACATGTGCCGGCGACTGTCGCAGTCCACCGTGGGGTATCAATGCCAATGAGTGAAAAAACAGATGAAAAGATTCCCTTCCCAACCGTTGGATGCAAAACCTCCCAACACCCTGCCACGTCATGATCATGGCCCACGATCTAGGACTGTCTCCATGACTTGCCAGCCCATGCATGCGACCCCTGTGGAAAATATGCCATGAAATTGCGCCTTCAACATGTTCCCCTGTGATGTTTTCGGTAGCTTTCATCCACTCATTGTCACCACTAATTCTCATCTCTCATTGGTCTCGTCGTGTTTCCAATCGCACAACGATCGCTCTGTTCAGACTCGGAAAATTCGCTTCTCGAGAGGGAGAGTTGCCTCGTACTCAGCAACTTCGTCCCTCAACGCAAGACGATAAGTTTGCGGAAACCGATCAATGTAAGACTTCGGAATGTTCTGTTGCGTCATGTCCTCAACCCAGCCCCATTTCTTAAAGGTCGTGTACATTTTGCTGAGCTTATTGACATCCACATTGCCAAACAACTGAAACTGGGCCTTCCCGACATTCAGCACCTTGAACTTGGGATTGTTCTCGCCAAGCTTCTCAAGGTTGTATTCCACAAACAATGCGAGGCCGAGGAAGCAGCGGGCCTTTTGGCACTTGTACAAGTCGGAGCTCATAGCCAAAACCTTGCAGAGCTTGACCTCTTCTGGATGAAGACCGGTGCAATCGCCAATGTCTTGAAGCTCTCTGATGTCCTTTAGTTCCTCTGCCGTGAACTCGCAGGGAGACAGGTGGACAGATGGTCCGTTTTCTGGCAGCATGGCGTCTTTGAAGGCTTCATAGTTGACTTTATCCTCGGAGCGTCGGTTGAGGGTGTCTTTAATATTCCGGCAGAGTGACTCGCTTGGTCCCCTCGGCTTGTCTGAGTTGCGGGTTCTGGTGTTCTTCGATTTGCTGTCTGGGCCTCGTTGAGTTGTCTTCGGTTTGCTATCAGGGACCACTTTGGACTTTTTGATGCTTTTGATGGACTCGACCTCATTTGCCTCTTGATCCCTGGCGACTTTGACGCTGACCATTCGGGACTCTTCCTCTCCCTGGTAGTTGCGTTTCACTCCTCTGGTTCTGCTGAGCGGTTCGCCAGTGGCCTCCAAGACAGTATGTACGATGTTTGCCTTCTTTTCCTTGGGGGAGGGAGCTGTAGCTTGGCGACTGGGTGGTCGTTCGCTGGTAGTGCCAAGTTTTGATTTCAAACCAGGTCTAGCTGTAACGACTGATCTGGTCACCCCTCGGAGAGACGATTCTGGGGGAATCCACTCCAAAGGAGATGGGCGGCCATTGAAGAGATGGTTTCTGATGTACAACAAGACCGAGTCCATGTCGTCGGCGGGGTACTGTGGGAGGAGCCCCACGAAAGCCAGCCGCTTGAGGCTATTCCATGGCCCCGGCGAGCACGACGTGGGGTCCCATACCGTGTCGGCCCCGAGGCCGGGCTCGTACCAAGTGATGCGGTATTTCATGAAAAGCTCCAATCGGTTGAGAAGCTCGGTTGCACGAACCAGACGGCGCTCTCTCGGTACCATTCCCTCATCAACATAGTAGATCTCGTCAGGGTATTGGCGAACCACCTCACGGAATCTCTGAAAGCGCTGAAGAATGAGGTCGTAGTCTTGGGCCGTTCTCAGTGGAACAGCCACTTGATAATCGTCGGGTGCCCAGGAGGCGCGGGGTTGAGGGATCGGTTGAGGAATCGAAACCGGTTCGGGCCCAAAGAGTCCCGGTCCCTGAATAGAGGAGGAGGAGGATTGAGAAGGGCTTCGCGACATGCCGGGAGTTGGCGGGAGGGACCCCACATTGCCAAACACCAGCACAGGGTCGTTGCTCTTGTTGTCTTGCGAAGTGATGTCGGCAAAGTCGTGCACCGGAGGGTCGGGAGGAGTGATGAGATGGTTCTGGGTGAGTGCCGCCATGTTGTTCTTGCATGTAGCAAGAAGATTCGGTCCCTCCTGGGAAGGGATGAGAGGCTCGGAAGCCATGTTGGTCTGTTCTGATGGAAACGAGTTGAGGCGGATTTTGGGCGCTGAGTCCCCGCGCATGTGAGATATCTGGTCCACCTCTTTCTGATCAACAAGTTGCGGTTGGTGAAAAATGGGACTGAGCGGAGGAGAGGGGATGGATATATGATGTTGCGCCGTCACGAGGTTGGAGGTCCTCCTGGTGAAGTAGGTCCTCGTCGATGGAGAGGCTAGCGAGTACCGCAGTTGACCCAGGTTTTGAGTTGGAGGTTCCGTCGGTTCGCGATCTGGCTTTGGCTGTGAGTCAAAGGCAAAGCGCACAGTGTCCAGGGTCAGTGGGTGTGGCTCAAGGCTGAAAAATTGGTGCTGATAAATGGCAGAAGGCAAGATATTTGTAGTCAAACAGATATTCCAGGCGGGCCGCGACCCCCTCAATAGAGCGATAAATGGGGGAGAGTTAGTATTGTGAGTAGAAAGGATGTTTGACTGTTGAATGGGTCAATGGAAGAATTCAATGGGGAGGAGCAATTGGGACAGAACAAATGGGTGATGGTAGACCAGTATGAATAACAGGTGCGACAGCGAGTGAAGGTGGTGGCGGTGGTGCGGCAGGCAGAAAACATGGCACTGCAGAGTAATCCATTGGGAGGGGATGAATCAGGATATGCGTCATTCTCAGGTGGTACTACGGGGAGGCGAAAAGCAGAGAAGGTCAGGCAAACAGATTGAACAATCAAGTGTTTGGCAGTGCAGCACCACGACCTTGTGATTTGGTGAGCAAGGCCCTGCTGGAGTGCGGGTGAGAGTGAGTGGTGGCGGATTGCGGGATCAGGCGGTGACTAAAGTAAGAAGTCAGAAGGTCGGCACGGCGAGAGCATAAAAAGCGTCAGGAGCCTGAGCCTGAGCCCGCGCGAATCCAGGCTGGTGCCGGGTCAGGCAGTGAAGGAAGACAATGGTTCGCATTGGAAGTATATGGTAAGAAGCAGTCAGGTGGCAGAAGACACTCGAGAGGAAGAAGGAAGAGAGAGGAAACGTGTGTGGCGGCCAGAGGCAGAAAGCAGAGGCTGCGGGCTTGGCACAGTGAGTCAGAAGACACCCCTACTCGGTACAAGGGCGCAGATTCGATCGCAAGGCCTGGCACGCTAGGCCGACTAGGGCCATGCTAGCTCGTGACCAGGCTCCACGGCACTCGGTGGGCCCGGGATGTCCCGGATCAACTCTATATCCGGTATTCCGGCAATGCAGCTGCACGGTATTACGAGGTACTCTCGGTGCCTATAAACTGGCCACATCCCCCAGCTGCCATCTTGAATGAGACGTCGGTATTCGCTCTGCTTGTACCTTGGGGCTTTGTTTTTTTTTCTGTAAATGGAGGGGCTACCAGTTCTAATTTGTTTTTCATGTCGATTATATACTTATACTCAGTACTTCCTCGTATTGTATTAGGACTGCGGATACGGCAGGTTCCCACTACTCATACCTGTGGAACACTCGGCCAAACTCTGCCATCAAAAACGGCGTGCCATGCACGTGGCTACTACCGACCTTGTACCGATTGAAGATTCCCTAGCTTCTGCTGCATACTGCCTACCGACATGCACCCTTCTCCATGACCCATACGGCATTGTTCTACTAAACCGGTAACTTGAACCAAACTGGAATTCCCATCCCCGAAACATCTCCCTCCTCTACCCTCCTCCTCCGCATTGTCCTACACCTTGCATATCATCTATATATACACCGACACGAACCTCAACCTCGTCAAGAAAGTTGTGTAAGTTGCTTTGACTCCATTCACTGTACTAACTCCAGCCTCCATTTCCCGTTGTCCTCGTCGGTTTCGGTGGCCAACATCCCAACACAATGGCTTCCCCTCCCGCCCACTACCTGTTACCCATCTTTCCTGGATTCCAACTTCTCGACCTCGCTGGTCCACTGGATATCCTGAATATACTTTCCGCTCAACTTGATCCGGACAAGTATGCTCTTTCTTTGACTTTCATCGCTGAGACACTGGACCCGGTCCCGGTCAAGCCTATCCCGCCAAAATCGGCCAGCTGGACGTTCGATCTGCCAAACGCGCTACCACAGACGAACGGCAAAATCAACACCAGCTTCAATGAGTATCTACAACCAGACATCACCTATGCAGACTATTTGGAGGCCCTCGATGCTGGCAAACCAGGACCCCGCGTTGACGTCCTTCTCATTCCCGGCGGCATCGGCACTCGACTAAAGCGAGTTCACCCAGATGGCAGCAAGACATCCAACATCCAGAGTCTTCTCGACTTTGTGCCCAAAGTGGTGCCCCACATAACGACCGCCATCTTGACGGTTTGTACGGGATCCGATGCACTTGCACAGACTGGGTTGCTCAACGCCCGCCGTGCGACTACCAACATGTCTCGCTGGGCAGACACAACACGCCGTAATCCCAAAGTTTCGTGGGTAAATTTTGCTCGGTGGGTCCGGAGTCTTCCGTCTGAAGCGCAAGGTCACAACAGCGCCCCCATCGAGATTTGGACTTCTGCCGGGATAAGTGCGGGCATGGATCTGACTTTGGCATTTGTCGCGCAATTCTATGGAGGACAAGACGTGGCCAGAGGCCTGGCAAAGGCTCTGGAGTATGACTGGCGCGAAATTGCAGAGGGCGAGATGGATCCTTTGTACGAGAAGTATTATGCGGTTTGACCTGTTGTTTCGTTCACTCGCCCGGGAGTGGGAATAACTCGTCGGGAGCTAGTTATTTTGACCAAGTGGATGGCCCGTCTACAAAGGGACTTTCGAGATTTTCGCCGTTCAAAAAGGGATGCGACATTTGGAGACCCAGATGGGTCCAGGTGGAACTCTAATACAGCTCTTTCCTTTCCTTGGTACAGTCGAGGCCATTCTTTTTCTCGATAAAATCAGTCGGTCGCGACATCCGAAGTCCCAGGTAATTCTCCATCCCACAAGCTTGAACCATATCCACTTGATGGCGGAGCCAAGCGGGGACATGACAGCCTCGTTGAGTTTGTTATGTATTTTATCAGCGGATCAACCAATCATGCGCCACATGTGGAGTGGGCGCTCGCGATTTACATCGGAAATGCTCTTGACCCAGTACCCAGACCAGTTCAGCATCCAACACCATCATCATGTCCAACCCTCATTTCTCGTCTCAAGTTGATGAGTGCCACCCAAGAGCGAACTTCAGCCTCTTTTCCTCGCCCTGTTTTCCATAAGGAGCTACGGCTCCTTGAGACTCGGTCGTTTCAAGCAATGGACATTTTCCCATTCTCCCCTGGTTCATTCACCACAGGGAAGCCAGAGGAAAGAGAATTCTAGGTCCAATGTCAACCTAGATTCTGCAAAGAGAGATGGTATCTTCTCCAGCAGCTCGACTATTTTTCAGTCAACCGAGTGTGTCTCTAATCAAATCGGTTATACACGGAGTGTTTGGTTGATGCGCATTGTTCACAGCCTCAAGCGTCTTTCGCCTCAACTTACATGTACCCTCGTCTCCGATCTCGCAGGAACTGCATCTCATTCCCTGGATATTTACATTTCCACGATGTGTCTATCGCCAACTTCAAACGCTATCCTCTTCCAGCTTTGCAGGAGTACTTCTTACTACTCTGCCCTTACATCGTACGAGTTTGTTCTCCGAGATCTCCTCGAGCCTAACCCATCCCCTCGACCTATATTGCGCTACCCTTGTTGATCGCTTTTATCCTTTCGTTTAAGAGCCATTTGATATGTGTTTATTTTGCGGCACTCCCAAGTGCAATATCGGACATTGGGCCGTTACGGACCCAGAGCCTCCCCATACCATCAACGTTTACCTTGAAGAAGTTGAACTCTTGCGATGCGCCTGTGTCAATGTTATGGACAAGGATTGGTATCCTAAGGAGGGATTCAGAATATTCGGGTACCGTTGCTGCCAGGCAGCTCTCACTAAACTTCGTGTCCTTGATGAGAAAAGGAATTGCCATAAGCATTCCACAACATGGTACGCTTCAGAATGAATGAGGCCCACCGACCTCACTCGACATAAGGTCAACCACAAATTCCATTGCGTACACAACAGGAGAGACGTTGTCTTGAACATTACCAACGATAATGAAAAAGACAGATACCAGGAAGAAGATGGGTGGGGATGCGGGTGCGCCTCTTCCCTCAAGCCAATTCCCTGTACCTAAGAGCCTACGATGACAACGGTAATTACGACGAAAAAGATAGTTCCGAGGAAACGGCCACTATAACGAACTTACGGGATTGGCGATGGAGACGAGCGTACGTGTCAGCGAAACGGCGCTGGCTCTCCACCTCCTCCCCGTACCAGCGAACTCACCTTTTGTAGGATCGCAGAATCGAAAACACGGAGGGCATTAAGACCGAACCTCAATCTAGGAGTGTTCCAATGCCATTGGAGAGGACCAATTATTAGCTAGGCGGCCTCTACCAGTATATCATCAATCTGTACGATTACAGCGATACGATGGAAACCAGGATGACAACAACCACAACGACAATAACTCTAACGACAACGACCACAACTTCAACAACCAGAATTCAGCACCCGCTTCGACAGGAATCATAATACTTGGTAATACAGCTCGAATTCAGAACACCTACCTCGCAAACTCATCAGAACTTCTTTCGGCGGTCGCCAACCTCTCAAACGATGCTCGTATTCTCGAATTCCCTGCCACACCTACTGATATCGAGCAAGCAGCCAGACAATAAGTAGACACTGTCTCACAACATCTGGGTCTTCACGGTATAGGTTTCGCAGCAAAGAAAGCGTTGAGAACCCACATCGGCTTGAGATAAGGGAGACTGCCAGTCTTCATAATACAAGTACAGAGGCAACCGCTAAAGCCTTGGAAAGCGGGCCGCGTTATCAACGGCGACGCTCACTGCGGGATACCTTACTGGGGATTGCTTTTTCGTGCTGGCGTTCTTCCTGCCTCTCGAGATATTCCATAATTATCAACTCCGACCTTGACAAAACATCCCGGACCGTCCTTGGCTGGGACTAGTTTCGGCTCCCACTGTTCCGGTGAATGTCCGCTTCCTTGTCGAAGAATCTTGTGTTTTGAACAGTGGCTGGAGCGACAGGAGACCCAATGCAAGAGAAGGAAACAATAATGGCTGGGAGCAGGCCCCGAGCGAGCGAGTGATGTATCTCTTGGCAGCTTTGTATGCGACTTGGACAGCGGCAAAGAGCGGTAGGCTGCAGGGGTTATTCAATAGGCCTAGCTTCTCACTTAGGGGGGACGCCTCACCAGCCGTTACTGGCTGGGGCCACCAGGCCTGGTAACCAGGCTGCAGAGGGCACCTAAAACAGGTTGATAGGTTCGTAATAATAGGTGCCGCCTTTGGTGCATTTGAAGGCGCTGTAGACTGGGGGGCTTGTTGTGGAGGGGCCCTTTACCGCCCCTTCCCAATGACGTTATAAGAAACAGGAAGAAAAAGCCTTAACATGGGGTCGCGTGTTTGCTTTCCTCACTCAGACGATCTCAAAAGCAAGGAAGTGACCCCGCAGTGACATAACAGGTTGCTGCAGGCGTCAATAAATATAGGTGCCTGGCCCTGCTGTACCTTGTTTGCAACTGCTCTTTTCCACTTCCACCAAATACTTCTCTGTCTTTATCCGCTCAAAGCCCCTCGCGACTCGATACCAGTTTCGCCTCAATCGAAACCTCCAAAAATGATCCAAAACATCCTCTTGCAGCTCTTCCTGGCTGCCCTCACCCTGGCTGCTCCCCTGACCGACGGCGGTGACGGGACTTTGCACACCACAGGGAAGGACATGATCGGCTACGGGACAGGCGGCGGCATTGTTGGGCTGATTGTTTTGGTCCTTGACGTCTTGGTCTTCAGTATGCGCTCACTCACTCACTCACTCAACTAATTTAGGCCCCCTTTTCCATAGTCCTTTTCCCTTGACTCAGAAGAACGAGAGGAGCATGATGCAATGCCACAAGAGTGTTGGAACGCATTTCGATGATTGCAAAACGCACTGGCTAACAGTGAACCCCAACAATAGTCGAGGTCCTGAAGTCAAACCGACCGCCAAGTCACAAACTCCTCTGGTGTCTCATTGTCTTCCTCTTCCCCATCTTGGGAATGCTCATCTACTTCCTCTTCTCGAACCGCGAGGCTCATAAGACTGGTGGCGCCTACGAGCCTTTGCCTTGAATTGGAGTCGTAATAGAATGGCTCCTTGAGTTCGGACTACGAAGATCAGCGGGAGAATGGTGCTGCTCTGCAGGGGGACTAGAGAGTTCTGATCGTGTGATATATGTGGTTAGAAAAGGGGGATAAAGGGCGGCTGGGTGACTTTGTACGGGCCGGAGTAAAAAGGCTGAGGATTTGTCGCGAAGATTGCGAACACAGAGATCATGGTGGAATTTGGAAAGCGGTGGGCGATGACACGTGAAATGACGGCCATGAGGTCTATGATGACAGCGAAGGCCACTCCTTGATCATTCCCTTTGGAATGTCCAGACCATCAACTTGTCAGTGTTTTGCATCCTCTGGTCATTGCAAGTTTCAGCTGCCTGGTGGGCGTTCAATTCTTTTGCTGTGAGACATTAATAAACACATAATGGTAGAAATCAACATTAGTACAATCCCTCGGTCGTCCGTCTTCAGGTAGCCTGAGCGGCAAAAAGGAGATACATCTTCCGCTGAAACATGGGGCTGGTGGCATTTAGTCTCGATGGTGTTGACCGGGTTAATGATATCAAAGCGTCCGAAGACCTATGTATAGTATAGCAGAACACCAGCGCAGAAGGAAACTCCATCACAATCATCATCATCATCATCATCATTGGTGTGAGGAACTCACCCGCCCACCGCTCTGGACGCAGCGGAACCGTAGCCAGATCCGCAACGGGAGCTGGAAACAACAGACAAAGACATAGGCAGAGAGCCCATATAGTGCCACACATCCATGTCGAGTACGTGGCCTCTAAAAAATGCTTGCACGGAGTATGCCTACCTCGACCAAGGCCTTTGTTCAACTCCATCAGCGCGATGCCCTTGCCCCAGGCAGGTTAACCCGCTGGCGGCGAGGGATAGGTCCCAGACCCGGTCGTCGATTCCTCTTCGAGGTTCGGAACTTCCTTTGCAGTAGTCTGGAGGAAGAACGTTAGCTCATGATATCTGACAGTTTACTATGCCCAAGGACTTTACTTCTGACATCATCTTCGCTCTCAGCTCTCCGTGGCGTCTCTCATCCTGTGCAGACAGAAGAGTGTTGATCCGCCGGTCAATCTTTATGCTTTTGTACCAATGGCTTTTTCTGAACGACGAATGAGGAGCTGTAATGACCCGAATGAATTCTCGGTCACTAGGAAATGTAGTCAGAAAAAGGCAACCAACATGGTGGTGGTGATGGTGGTGGGAAGACGCTGGAAGGTCATCAGTCATTATCATATTGGGAGGTATCCTGGCGGGAGACCCTATCCTGCAGCTCAGCATCATGAGGCAGGAGTGTTACACAAACCTAAGCTGGGGCTGTGGAGCCTCGAGAACGGCAATTCCGCAGGTAATTCCAACGGAAAGCATGGGGGACTTGGAAGGGAAATCTTAAATGCCACAGCCGTTTCTCGGCAGATAGTCCAAGTTCAAACTTCTCCATTGAGCGGGCTTTGCCATTCACTTGGCGGAAGCATTTTCCTTGCAACTCACGGAGAGAGATCATTCATGAGTGAAGGATAGGGGATGGAAAATAGGCGAAGCAGAACAGACTGATTGAGAGTCGGCAGTGACCATTCTTGCCCTTCATCGCCGGCCACGGGCCAGGTCAACATGGCCCTCGCTTGCCAAAGACATGGATCGGAGGCACGATACCTGCTAGCTCGAGCTTCGAAAAGCCCGCGTATCTGTAGGTACTGTACTCGGTAGGGGCATGGAGTGCTCGGTAGACTTATGGGGAACTGCACTCACGCGTTAGGCCATGCATCGCGACCGACCGTTGACACATGTCAGATGGAGGTGGTCGAGGCCTTAGCTGTCGACGTCGAGAAGGCCCAACCAGGCATTGAGCCGCAGCCCGAGAGCCCCTGCGGCATCCAGCTTGCGCCGAAGCCAGGCCGCCTTAGCGGCGTCATCCTTTGCAACTGCGTCACTCTGTTTGGCCCTGTATGCGAATGGGCGAACAGCCAAGGATACACAACATCCGCGGCAGCTAGGTTTGAGACCGGCTGTGTGTAACTAGAGAGCTGCGAAACAGTTGGATCGGTCGTCCAATTGGTATCCGACTGTTTTTCGCACGGCTGCATATTCTTGACAGGTGATGTGTTGCAGGCAGAGAAAACGAGCCATGGGCAAGGATTTCATTGCTGTCTTCTCGCCCATTCAGTTGACTCGTGTCTGGCTTTCATTCTCCGCTTTGCTTGGATAGCCCTTGAATCGCCTTGCTGGTTAAGTGCAAGTATTCTGCTCCATTTTCACCGAACATCTCCCAAGCTTGTTGATGTTCAAATGTCTCGGGGCTGCCCAAAATGCCAGTCTCTGATAGCGACAGTGCGTTAGAGGCAATCGGTGATCCCGTGGTAAGTGGCGACCTGGAGCCGTCCTCTGGAAATTTAATCGCAATTGACTGGTACAGGATGACGGCAGCGGCCCAGCTGTGGATGAGACAGATTCCGGATACTGGGACCGAGACTCTACTACACAGTCGGTGACAGCAAGCATCTACGAGTATGAGAGGCGGTATGATCGCACCTATCACTCCTTCCATAGCGGCAAGTATTTGATGCCCAATGACGAGTCGGAGCAGGACAGAATCGACATCCACTACCATGCCGTCCGTCTGTCGTTAAGGAACACTTTATTCTTTGCCCCGATTCCCAATCCACGGGCAATTCTCGATATTGGGACTGGAACAGGTGTATGGGCGCTGGACGCTGCTGAAGTCCATCCGGATGCTATCGTCATTGGCACTGATTTGAGTCCAATTCAACCACATTTCGTACCAACAAACTTGAGCTTCGAGATTGCAGATGCCGACGAAGAGTGGACATTTGGCCATAGATTCGACTTGATCCACTCCAGGATCATGAACGACTTCACTTTGCGAAGTTGGCCTCATTATTTCGAGCAGGCAATGCAATGGCTCACACCGGGAGGGTGGGTTGAATGCCAGGAATCCGACTATAATCGTCGGAGTGACGACAACACACTCCCCCCTAACAGTCGGCTCACCTTTTGGGAACGTGAGTGGACGAGAGGGATGCAAAAGACGGGTCTGGGCGGGTTCTGCAGACCTGAGCTTGTTATGGAGCAGATGCGGAACGCAGGCTTTGTCAATGTCAGCTGCCGCAGGTTCAAAATCCCCATAGGCCCCTGGCCCAAGGATTCAACGCTCAGGCAGGCAGGAATGTTTGGCCTTGTCAATATACTTGACGGCATCCAAGGACTGAGTCTGAAGGTATTCAGGGAACTCCTGGAATACTCATTTGAGGAGCTTGAGGCCTTGTTGACGGACTGTCGACGAGAGGCTAGAGACCGTACTGTCCACAGCTACTGGCCGCTGTAAGTGATCTGAGCCTTGCTCCCTGAACGGTTGTGCCTTCTGCTGACAGTTTCTTAGATTTGTTATACTAGGACAGAAGCCCATTGAGGAGCAGGCTCAGGCAGGTGCCTCGTAACAGCTCGTAAATGTACTGGATTGTGGTTTGTTGGTTTCGGTTGATACTTGAGTTACCCGAAAGGCGGGCGACTGGGACACGAGGTGGCGGTCGTTTGCTTTTAGAATAGTCCGTCTTGCTGAACTGGATTTTCTGGTCCTGGAGATCGGCTTCTGGTGTGTGATGTCGCCAGTGTGACCGATACCAAGTACGTGCATCCTCCAAAAGGGGCTTTGGTGACGGGTGGTCACCGGCGGCAAAAGCATGATCCTCTTCTAGCTCCTCACTGGCCACCTGGCTAATAGCTAGCGGGCTAGTATTAGTATTTTGGGATACTTTGGTCTCTGCAGTTTAACAAGCCCAAAGTCTCCTTATTCCCTGCTACCCTGCCAAAAGGCTCAAATGCAACTCTGCGTCATTAGTGGAGAATCCTTCAACGTACTTGGACATTCCCCGTTTGCCTCGACGAAATCATGGACCGTGGCATAAGAAAGCGCTTGCGTTGTTCGTCTCCCGCCAGGCCATTGAATGGACCTTGACCTCTGTCAGCCTCGAGTTTCTCGATTTGCCCGCATTGATGTGAGTGGCTTGGTGGGCACCTCGACGGACATTGACGCCTCGCTTCTCCGCCATGGCATCCGTCCTCCAGCTTGCTCTTGCTGCGCTTCTGGTAGCATGCACTTTCCCCAGTGCACAAGCCCAAGGTCAAGTGTCAGTAGCCACGAACGGGACAGGGCCATTGTCGCAGTACAAATCAGTAAGTCCTTCCTGCATCCAACCAGCTGTTACTGACGGTCAAGACAGAGACCCGACATTTATGCACCTTTCCTGAACATTTCTCTTTTCGACGAAGATGCCGTAACTCCTGGGTATATCTTCCTGAGTCCGTACCAGACATTCCAAGAGGCGATCTACATTTATGACAACAGAGGGGTCAGTTCTGCATTTTCGAGAATCCAAGGGGAGACAAACTGATATATGTCAGAACTTGGTTTATTCGGGATATGGCTCGACCGGTGGTGGCCCCAGCCACAATTTCCACCTTTGTTCAATCAATGGGACGGACAATCTCTGCTACATCACTGGTGGTCAGAATGTTGGATATGTGCGAGGCTACGCTGTGGTCCTGGACGACACCTTCACAGCCAAAACCTCGATCCATTCACAGGGAGGAGTGGCCAATTTTGACGAGCATGAATTTAACGTGCTGCCCGACGGCTCCTCTCTGTTTACACTCTACAATCCCGAGCACTATGACCTATCCGCTTATGGTATCACGTCGGGACAGGGCTGGATCATGAACAATTTCTTTCAGCGTATCGAAATTGGGACCAATCGATTGCTCTTTGAGTGGTCTGCCTTAGACCATGTTCTGCCCAACGAGACTTTTGTGATGCCAGATACAACCGAGGTTTCGGGAGATGGATTTGGGCCGACAAGCCCCTGGGACTATTTCCACATTAACAGCGTGGATCAGAACGTAGATGGAGACTACCTGGTGTCTGCACGCCACACTTGTGCCATATACAAGGTGTCCGGACAAGACGGCCACATCATTTGGCGACTGGGCGGTATAGCGTCTGATTTCAGCTTCCCGACGGGCTTGAATTTTAGTTTCCAGCATGATGCGAGGTTCCGCGAAGAAAACGAGACCACCACTATCATCTCGTTGTTCGACAATGCCTCAAATGGATACAATCAAACCTCCCGCTATTCTTCGGGCATGGTTTTGAAGCTCGATCATACTATGAATTCGGTCACGCTCCTTCAAAGGTTTGTTGCACCATATCAATTCATCTCCCAGTCGCAGGGCAATCTGCAAGTCCTTGGACGCGACCAAGACTGGCCGACTTCAAACGTATTCATGGGATGGGGCAAGAATGCGTTTATATCTGAATACACGCCCGATGGGCGCATGGTCCAGCAAGGACATTTCGCCACGGAAGGATCAATGCATTACCGCGCTTTCAAGTACAATTTTACCTCCACTCCCACTGATGCACCGGCTCTGTACACATATGCACACAATACTAGTGCGCCGACATTGTCCTGGATGAGCTGGAATGGCGCCACGAAGGTCGCGCAGTGGCGCGTCTACTCGAGTACATCGCGCGACGGGCCTTGGAAGGTTGTTGGCACTGTCCATAAGAAAGGGTTTGAAACCATGTTCACTGCACCCAAGTATTATCCTTGGACTATGGTTGAGAGTCTCGATTTCAATGGCAATCCATTGAAAAACAACACGAGGCCGATCAAGACATTTGTCCCCAGCGCGAAACTCGCTGCGAAATGCAATGGCTCAGGATGCCCGGCTGCTAGCAGTTATAGCAATGGATCGCACAGCTCAAGCCAGCCGGGAAGCTCTTCGCCTACAAGTTCGAGCGCGGGCGCCTCGACACAAAAACGAAGTGGTGTGGAGGGCAAGTTGGGCTATGCGGCCATGTTTGGCTTCGGGGCATTGATCGCATAGAGCTGTATACGTAATGACCTCACCATGCCAGGTAAAGCAGAAAGACTCACGGATCCAAGTTTGTGAGAATAGCCACTTCCCGCAAACCACCACGCCATCAAGTCACTATATGAAGAGGCGTCATTTCTTTTTTTTTTTTTTTTTTTTTTTTTTTTTTCCCTTCTCTCTTTTGCCTGTGACGCACCTTCGTCCAATAACTCCTTTTCCAGAACCTCGAGCGATGCGAGCCCGAGACCTACCTAATACCAGACAAGACAAAACTTATCTGCTTGGGGCAATGTTCGCGGGCCGCCGAGACGTAGCGTTCTTGCGAGCCGTGCTTCGGCCGTTAAGTCTGTGTGGCGGGGCCGAAGGCAAGAAATCCTGCTGGCGAGTTGAGTACCCAGTAGGGCGACTCGGCACCATTGCAATGGGCCCCGAAGTTTGACTTCCAGCAACACAAACAGGATCCATACATTGTTGTAATGAAGGGCAGACGGGCTCATTGTATGTGAGTAGACTATTGCTATCCACTGTGATCTGAGCGGGTGAAACAACAGTAAGTCCCTGCCGCGTGTATAAGTAGCAGGTGCCGACCACAGGTGCGACCCATTCCGTTCTATTCAATGCTCAAGAGGCCACAGGCAATGGTCATACCAATTTCTGGCACAGCACCCCTCTTGCACCTGATAGAAGTGAAAAGGATATCGAGTCCAGACCCGCACATCTAACTTCTTTTGTATCGATACTATTCCAGCAGGGTTCTGTTCTGCACCGATATCTACGCCGAAGAAAGGCGTCCTGTGCCGTCCGAGAAGACCGGTCAGGAAATCCTTCAGACCGATGCCATTCAGTCTCGCTATCGTGGGTGCGGGCCCCGCTGGTCTCACACTTGCCCGCCTCCTCCAGGTTGCCGCTCTCGACATCTCCATTACCATCTTCGAAAAGGACGCAAGTCCCACGTCCCGGTTCCATCAAGGCGGCTCACTCGACTTACACACGAACACCGGCCTCGCTGCCCTCAAAAAAGCCGGGCTATGGGAAGAAGCGCTCAAGCATCTCCGTTATGACGGCGAGGAATTGTTCATCGCGGATAAGAATGATACGGTTATCTTACATCTCAACAATCACCCCAAGTCCAACAGGAAAGAGTCGGAGTTGGATTACGAGAGGCCGGAGATCGATCGGGAGGTGCTGAAGGATATGTTATTGGAGAGTGTTGAGAGTGAGTGTGTGAAATGGGGCAAAACGGTGCAGTCGGTTGTACCAGAGACCGGTGTGTTGAACTTTCGCGATGGGACGATCGCTGGTCCATTTGATCTGGTCGTCGGCGCTGATGGAGCGTGGTCCAAGGTACGACATGTCTTGACAGATGTAAGGCCACAATATGCGGGCATCTGTGGCTTTGAGAGCCGCATCCCGAAACCGAATGAGGATTACCCAAAGCTCTCAAAGATGGTCGGCAGGGGCAGTTATTTTTCATACTCTGACGGGAAGTCTCTGACTGCACAGAGAATGGGTGATGAGTCGATCAAAATTGGCATGTGGGTGAAAATGGAAGACGGCGAGAGCTGGCCTGCTGATATGCTGGCCGCTTATGGTGACAACGAGGAGAAATTGAAAGACATAATCCTGTCAAATTACCAAGACTGGACACGCCAACAGAAACAACTGATCCGAGTCAGCACCAGATTTCGACCTTGGCCGCTCTATGAGTTACCTGTTGGAAATACCTGGGAACACAAAAAGGGATATACGCTGATTGGAGACGCTTCCAGCCTGATGACGCCTTTTGCGGGGGAAGGTGTGAACAAGGCGATGAAAGATTCACTCGAGTTGGCTGAAGCCCTTGAGAATGCTCTCAAGGAACAGAGAAATTTGGATGAAGCGGTACGCCAGTACGAAGAGAATATGTTTCCGCGGGCAAAGAAATATCAGAGAAAGACTATGCGGAACAAGCAGGGCATGTTCAGCAAGGAAGGACCTGTGGTGTTTCTGGTGGGCATGGTTGACATGGCTGCGGAGGAGATGGGTAAGGATCTCTCCAAGGGATGGCTGAGTTGGGTCCCGTTCAAGACGATGATGTACTCCTGGGTTGTGTCCATCCAAACCTTAGGAGCTATGAGGAGGAGGGTGAGTGATTGGTTTTCGAGGGCATAGGCCCAGAGGGAGGGGCGCAATCTGGCCTGCCTCGCCGGCCAAGACCCGCCTCATGTCACAACTTCAGGTACCTAGCTCGGTTCATTCTGGAATGTACATAGTTTCAGCAAGACGTTGAGTGTAAAATACATATATGAGCTCGGTAGCAAGCTTGACCTCGTTGACCTCGTCAGCCTCGTTTGAATTGCCTTCGTACGGGTATTGCTCCACCGTATTTAAGAGCCAGTAATCCTCGTGATATGATTGGTGGGCACCATGCAGTCGTCAATGAAAGCTGCAACCCGTGAAACTTCAAGAGCTTCTTGTCGACGCCACCACATTCATCTCAACACCACTGCCTTTCGACTTCTAGAGCTGGGACCTGCTCGACGGGTTGTGACGGAATGCGGTCTCAGCTTCTTCGCGCCGCAGGGCGCACAAGACCTTCGCTGCCCCCAACAAGGCAGGCGGCGACCAGGTCCTTTACCTCCTCCACCAGACGAAATGCCGAAGTCGAACTCACTATTGATGGCAAGAAGGTGTCGATAGAGGCTGGCTCGGCCCTGATCCAAGCTTGTGAAAAGGCAGGCGTGACAATTCCGCGATACTGTTACCATGAGTATGTCCTTATTTCCCCCATTATTCTGCAAGACCGGTCTGTGCTAAGCCATTGAATTGCTAGGAAACTTCTCATTGCCGGAAACTGTCGTATGTGTCTAGTCGAAGTCGAACGAGTCCCCAAACCTGTTGCGTCCTGCGCATGGCCAGTCCAACCGGGCATGGTTGTTAAGACCGATTCACCAATGACCCACAAGGCAAGAGAAGGCATCATGGAGTTCCTCCTGGCCAACCACCCGTTAGATTGCCCTATCTGCGACCAAGGCGGCCAATGCGATTTACAAGATCAATCGATGAGGTATGGCGCCGATCGTGGCCGTTTCCACGAAGTCACCGGCAAACGTGCCGTCGAAGACAAGAACATTGGACCTTTGATCAAGACCTCGATGAACAGATGTATTCACTGCACAAGGTGTATTCGGTTTGCCAATGAGATTGCCGGTGCACCAGAGTTGGGTTCTACCGGCAGAGGCAATGGAATGGAAATCGGCACGTATTTGGAAAGGAACCTCGACACTGAACTCTCGGGGAACGTGGCCGACCTCTGTCCCGTTGGTGCTCTCCTGCCCAAACCAGGAGCTTTCAGCTATCGTCCCTGGGAACTTACCAAATTTGAATCAATCGACGTGCTGAATGCCATGGGCTCAAACATCCGAGTGGACGCCAGAGGTATGGAAGTCAAGAGAATCCTACCCAGACTGAACGATGATATCAACGAAGAATGGATCGATGACAAGACCCGCTTTGCTCTTGACGGACTGAAGACTCAGAGATTAACAACGCCGTTGATCCGAAGAGATGATAAATTCCTTCCGGCCACATGGGAACAAGCTCTAACAGAGATCGGCAACGCATATGCCAGGATCAAGCCCGGCGAGAACGAATTCAAAGCCATTGCCGGCCACTTGATCGAAACGGAATCCCTGGTCGCCATGAAAGACTTGGCGAATAAACTGAACTCTGACAATCTCGCTCTTGACCAGCCAGGAGGCGGCTCACCAATCGCCCACGGTGTTGACATCCGAGGAAACTACCTCTTCAACTCCAGGATCTGGGGTATTGAAGAAGCCACCCATATGCTCATCATCGGAAGCAATCCTCGTTGGGAGGCGGCTGTGCTCAACGCCCGTATTCGGAAACAATGGCTACGTTCCCCCCTTGAAATTGGATATATTGGCGAACCATTTGAGAGCACATTCGAATTCGAACACTTGGGCACCGATGCCGCAGCTGTAAAGAAGGCACTTTCTGGTGACTTTGGCAAGAAGTTGGCAGAAGCCAAGAGGCCCATGATTATTGTTGGCAGCGCAGTCGCCGAGCACCCAGATGCAGCAGCGATTTTCGAATCAGTGGGCTCCTTCGTAGACAAGCACCAGGCCAACTTCAACACCGCCGAGTGGCAAGGATACAATGTCCTTCAGCGAGCGGCCTCCAGAGCAGGAGCTTATGAAGTGGGCTTCACCGTTCCCTCCCAGAAAGTTGCCGAGACAAAACCCAAGATGGTCTGGCTGTTGGGTGCAGATGAGGTATCCGAGGCCGACATCCCCAAGGAGGCATTTGTGGTTTACCAGGGTCATCACGGTGAGACTGGTGCACAGCTCGCCGATGTCATTCTTCCTGGTTGCGCATACACCGAGAAATCTGGCACTTATGTAAACACCGAGGGTCGTGTACAACTCACTCGCTCTGCGGTCACGATACCCGGAGCGGCGAGGACGGACTGGAAGATCATCCGGGCAGCTTCCGAATTCCTGGGTGTCCCGCTTCCGTACGACGATTTGGAGGTTTTGAGAGATCGTCTCGAAGAGATTTCCCCGGCGCTCAGGAGGTACGATACTCTTGAGCCGCAAACGTTGACTGGCTTAAGTAAAGTGCAACTGGTGGATGCGAATAAGGGCTCGAAAGCCACCGGACGGAAGCTGGAATTGCCCATCAAAGACTTCTACCAGACTGACGTAATTTCGAGAAGGTATGTTACAAGGAGGCGCCCACATTTCCACCAACGCCAGATCCCTAGTATATACAGGATTCAGACGCTAACCAGGTTCTAGTTCACCAACAATGGCTCGCTGCAGTGCGGCCAAGGAGATGGGCAACTCTGAGACCAATTTCATGGCCCCAGGCGAGCCAAACGAACAGATTTCGTATGGTTAAACATAAACTTGATGCCTAGCCCTTGATGTTTTCTTTGAAGGAACGCAGACAGCGGCTACCTGGATATTTTGTGGGTGATTGAGCAAGAAGACAGACGAGTGAAGGCAGGCAGGAAGAGGAATGGAGGCGGATCGTGCGGTAGAGAAAAGACAAGCTATGAGTCGCTCGAGCGGAGGACAGATTTATCGCGCAAAGATGCTTCACGGGGGAGCTTCGAAGTCCTACACGAGCCAAGATGAAGCCAGAAGGTCGATTCTCCTTCCGCCCTGCCTTCTCATGATGTGGCTTCTGCTCAAGCACTGTATAGGCATTGAAATCGGCGTTGTTGATTTTGACCGAGAAGTATTCGATATGTACATATCAAAGCGGAGGTAAAATCAAATCGAGAATTCTGAGAAACTGCCTGTGGTGCTCAAGGGGCAGATGTGCCCAGTGTAAAAGCCATGTCCGAACCAGGTCGACAGTAAAGACAATCTGATTGTCCAATTGGTCCTTAGTGGAGTCTGCACAGAGTGCTCTGCTCAGAATTGTTCGCGGAGGTCTTGATATGCAAGACTGAAAACAGGTCATTCCACGACCACGTCCTTGCTCGTGTCCAATTCCTCAAACCGTCTCAAATCCATCTCCCCTTCAAGAAGCGGCTTGACATACGGGTCAAATGTCTTCCAATAGGGATTCTCCAGGTGGTACTTCTGGCTGCTTTCCTGTTCGTACCTCTCGACAATGGTGAAATCTCGTTCGTCGTGGACAGACTGCATGACGAACCACGACAGAGTTTCCTTGTCTTTGGAGTACACGCGGGAAGCTTCGATGAGCTTGTTTTTGAGCTTTTGGACGATGGCCGGATCCGAAGATTTGGCTCGGAGGTGCACGGTTATTGTGTAGACCATGTTTGTCAAAATCTTGGAGGAAGTTGAGATGGTAGGTACCATGGGGTGAAAAGAAAGCAGAGGGAGTCAACAAGTGGTAGAAATATGCTCACACCTCCACGTCGTCAAGATTTTCCTCAGAGCACCAAACCCCGCCTGACTGATTGCCTGATTGAGAATGGGTGAAGTCAGGGAAGGGCTGGTAGGATATTAGGTCGATAGGATGGGTTAACGCGAATCTGGGTAGCATGAGACCAAGACTGTCCTGGTATCAACTCAGCTCGCTAGCTGACTCGTCGATGAGCATAACAACCCTGGCTCGCGTTGACAGAGTTTAACGCGACAGGAACAAACGTTGTCGAAGGGACGACGCACGTGGAAGCGAGGATGCGGATCTCGGCCCATCGAGCCAAATATTATTGTTACCGCCTATGACGCTGCGAGACGCCCGCATCTGCATTATTTCTCACGAACTTCTCTCGACTTCTCCGCCATCGCGACCTTCCCATGGCTTCGTCCCCACATCATTGGCCCTCGTTCTTCAATCCATCTTCGAGTCGCTCGAACACTGCAACAGATGACTACGGCTAAGAGGCAGGATGCGCTGATGCGAGGCCCAGACTTACGCCATGAAGTTTGCAAAGTAGGTCCTCTCATAGCACCGAGATCCCTCTGCGATGAGGTGGGAAACTAACTGAGGCAGGGAATTGGAGGAAGATGCCGTTCCAGAATGGAGAGCTAAGTACTTGAATTACAAGGTAGGTTCTCTCAACGCGACATTGCTTCGTTCGGTGCTAATCTCCTCGCAGCTGGGAAAGAAGAAAATCAAGGCCATCTCCAAAGCCCTCAGGAACCTGCAGAGGACTCCTGGCACCGAGCCTCGTTCTGTCACTTTCGACGGTTTCGCAGAACAGCGCACTCCCTTTACACACTATGACTTCAATCTTCAACGAGCCGAAACAGCAAGGTCGACCCAGTCACTACCCGACATAGAGGAGGTCGCACCAGACGAAGATGAAGAGCCGGAAGATAGACCGCAGGTCACCCAGCGCCGAAGTCATACCATGTTTGCAGCGTCTCCGCCTATATACATTCCGGGAGCTCAAATGGAGACGACGCCGGAAAGCACGCCTCTCTATCCTGGTCAGTCGGTGCGGCGAGTAATGAATTATGGATCCATTGTCGGCACGCCTCCAGATGAAACACCTGGGATGATGGCCGCCCTCGAACTCCCCGATCCCGCGTTGACCCCTGCGCGGACGCGACCACCCACAGAGATCGAACCAAAATCCCAGGGCACGACTCCACGACTTCCTCCACCAGCCCAAGTTCCACCAGCGCCGGATCCGTACCATGTTGGTCAGACGCATCATCCACCTCTCGCCAGGCACAGCTTTGCAGGAAGCCTGGCAAAGGCCATGTTCCAGCGCGGACGAGGAGGCAAAAGTCAGTCAGTCTCGGGCCCACTGCCGAGGATGAACTCCATCTCAGCTTCCCAAAGATTCCGCAACTTATTCGCTCCTCGTGATCTGACCGAGGCCACTGTGAATGACATGCAGCTTTCAGCGTACCAAGAGCTTGATGAGAAACAGGCCGATTTTTTCACATTCTTAGATAAAGAATTGATGAAGATTGAGGAGTTTTACAAGATCAAGGAAGACGAAGCTACTGAACGTCTGCAAGAGCTCAGGGCGCAACTCCACGAAATGAGAGACAGAAGGATAGCAGAAATATTGAAGGCAAAACACGGAAACGACGGTACCGGACCACCACATCTAAACGACATAAGAAAGCAACCGGCAAATGTTCTCAAGGAAGGCGTCAAGCCCAACGGAAGTGGCAGCCACCTCATCCCAAAACCCATAGGGGAGGTCATGGGACGACGGCCTACAATCGGGAAGACCAGTCAAGCCATGGCACAGATGAGTTCTCCTCCAGGACCGCAAGCACAAAAGAGAATCAACGAAGCAAAGAAAGATTACGTGCGCCGGGACCACGGAAGTGAAATCAAGTATACCGTTGCAAAGAAGAGGCTGAAGCTCGCGCTGCAGGAATTCTACCGCGGATTAGAATTGCTCAAATCTTATGCTCTGCTGAACAAGACGGGCTTCCGCAAGATCAATAAGAAATACGACAAAGCAGTCCAAGCCAGACCTCCGCTGCGATATATGACAGAAAAGGTCAACAATGCATATTTTGTTACGAGTGACGTCGTTGACAATCACCTCATTGCTGTCGAAGATCTATACTCTCGGTACTTTGAGCGCGGCAACCACAAGGTCGCTGTTAAGAAACTGCGATCCAAGGTTGGCACAGGGGATCACTCGGCGGTGGCGTTCCGCAATGGTCTTTATGTTGCCGCGGGTTGTTGTTTCGGCGTGGCTGGCCTTGTCGATGCTGCCTTTCGACTGAATGATCCGAGGATGTCTGTGCAGACCAGTTACCTACTGCAGTTGTACGCGGGATACTTTCTGATTGTTATCTTATTCTTGATGTTTGTGCTGGATTGCAGGATGTGGAACAAGAATCACATCAACTACGTCTTCATCTTCGAGTACGACACCAGACATGTGCTGGACTGGCGACAATTGGCAGAGTTGCCCTGCTTTTTCCTCTTCCTCAATGGCCTATTCATCTACCTCAACTTTCGGCAAAACTCTTATGATTGGTTCTACATCTATTGGCCGTTGATTCTCATCATCGTCACCATACTCATCATCTTCTTGCCCTTTCCCATCATTTATCACCACGCACGGAAATGGTGGGCTGTTACGAACCTGAGGCTTGCCTGTGCACCATTCTACCCGGTCGAGTTCCGAGACTTCTATCTGGGCGATATGTACTGTTCCGAAACCTACGCCATGGGCCAGATCGAGCTCTTCTTCTGCCTCTACGTCAACAACTGGAACAACCCTCCGCAATGCAACTCCAGCCACTCACGCTTGCTGGGGTTTTTTGCCGCGCTTCCTGCAGTGTGGCGAGCATTGCAATGTCTGCGTCGTTACTACGATTCGCGGAATTGGTTCCCTCATCTCGCCAATTGTGTCAAATACTGTGGCAACATCGCTTACTACGCGACACTGTCAATTTACCGAATCGACATGAATCACACGACTTGGTCCATCTTTGTCACGTTCGCTCTCGTCAACGGATTGTACTGCTCCTTCTGGGACGTGTTCATGGATTGGAGCTTGGGCGATTTCTTCGTTCAAAAGTATCCCTTCCTCCGAGAGCGGCTCGCCTATAAGCAAGTCTGGATATATTATTCTGCGATCGTAGCGGATGTATTGCTTCGACAGCAGTGGGTGTTTTATGCGATATTCACGTCGGATATACAACATTCCGCCTTCATGTCCTTCTTCGTCAGTTTGGCGGAGGTCATCCGAAGGGGCCTCTGGTCCCTATTCCGCGTCGAAAACGAACATTGCAATAACGTTGGGCAATTCCGTGCTTCGAGAGATATTCCTTTGCCGTACGACATACCCGAGTCGCGCACGGTGTCTCCTGTTCAGGAGCGCCGGACGCCTAGCGCTCCACAGCCAACAGAGCCTGAACAGCGTATTGCCACTGGCGTGGACTTGGAAAGCCTAGCCTCACTAGACGCATCACTTCGTCAACGTCGCACACCTACCACGCCGCGGACCCCTGCCATGCGGGCCCTTCAACGCGTGGGAACAATCATCGGAACTGCCCACGCGCAGGACTTCGAAAGACGCAGAAGACCACCTGAAGATGAAAATGGTGGCCCTGACGATGGAAATGGTGGTCACAGCAGCGACGAAGACGAGGAGGAGGCAGCGGCCAGTGGAGGGGAAGAGGAGATGGCGGAGTTGGAGAGACAGAGGGCGCAGGAGAATGCGGAAATCGCAGAGGCGAATCGGTTGGTGGGAGACCGACCAAGACGCGCACGGTAGGGGTCGACGATTGACCGTTCGCGCGCAATCTGAGAGTCAGATGGCCACCAGGAGTGGTAATGCGAGACGAAGCAAGCAATATACGAGGTGTGAAAGGCAATGCATGAAAGAAAGAGGAAGATTTTGGGAAAGAGACGGGTACACACCTAGGTTGTACTCCGTATATATTAGCTGGGATGTGACACTGAATCCAACCCGTCGCCAGGCTGTCATTTGGTCTCATTCGGGTCTCAGCCTCGAGCCATTGACTCTGTGGGCCATCTATCCCTCCGACCAGCGTATGCGCCTGCTGTCCATTAAGCCCTGTGCATGGTCGTCTCTTCATGGCAATCCCAAGGGCAGGAGAATCACTATTCGGTCGGGAGTACAATGACTGACTCGCAAGGCTGTTTTGCTTACATAACGAGAACTCCTTTCTTTTCTCTGCTCACCCCATCGATGGCGTGCTTCCCTCCTCGTCTTCCCTTACAGGCCTTGCCCATTGAAAGTATTGAAGACAATCAGGAGTTGAGAAAGACTCTCCTGATCAAGGGTGAGATCATCCTTCATAAAAGATATCCATCCAGCTTTGGCTTCTCGTGATCGATATAATATTACTGATCTTTCAGGGCGCCCAGCGCCAGCATGTCCATCCCAATGATTGACTTCCACAAGGCCGATGACGCGACAACGCGGCCGCAGCTCCTGCAAGCCCTCCGCCACGCGCTGTCTGAGGTAGGATTCCTGTACCTCTCCAACCACGGCATTGGCGAGTCGATCGTCCAGGACCTCGTGGATGCTCTTCCTCGTCTCTTCGCGCTCCCAGACCCGGTCAAGGAGTCCGTCGCCCTCGTCAACTCGCCCCACTTTTTGGGGTATAGCAAGTTCGGGTCGGAGATCACGGCGCGCGTCAGGGATCAGAGAGAGCAGTTCGAGTTCGCCAACGAGTTGCCGGACAGGTACGGCCTCGTCGTCTCGGCGGGGACGGATTCGCCATCGCCATCATCATCGCCGCCGCTGTATACTCGGCTGCAGGGCCCGAATCAGTGGCCCGACTTCCCGGAGGAGCCTAGGTTCCGCGAGATCGTCGAGTCGTACGTCGCGGCGATGCAAGATCTCGCAATGAGGTTCCTCGAGCTGGTCACCGAGGCACTCGGCTTGCCTCCGCACAGTCTGGAGCGGTTCACGGGCCCGCAAGACCGGATCAAGCTCGTGCACTACCGGCCCTCGTCGCCGTCGTCATCCGGAGACGCCACGACTCAGCCTTCTTCTTCTTCTTCTTCTTCTTCTTCTTCTTCTTCTTCTCAGGGCGTCGGCCCGCACAAGGACAGTTCAGGCTGGATGACGTTCCTGCTGCAAGCGTCGGACCCGTCGATCCGGGGCCTGCAGGTCCTGTCCAAGGACGGAGAGTGGCTGGACGCGCCGCCCGTGCCGGGAACCCTCGTCATCAACATGGGCCAGGCCTTTGAAGTCGTGACCAACGGCGTCTGCAAGGCGACCACACACCGCGTCCTCCTCCCGCCCGGCGAGTATGACCGCTACAGCGTGCCCTTCTTCCAGGGCGTGCGGCCAGACCTGACTAAATCGGACCTCAAGGCTCTGTGGGACCAGCATTTCGACACTTCTGCAACAGGGTGGAAGATGGTGGGCAGAGAGTCGGACGAGGGCCGAAACATTGACAGCCCCTTTCTCAGAGGTAGATACGATACCTGGGGAGAGGCGCAGCTGAGGACGAAGATAAGGAGCCACCGGGATGTCGGCTTGAGGTGGTACAAGGACGTGTTTGACAAGTACATCAATGATGATTGATTTGACATTCAATTGAATGAATAAATGACGAGTTGAGTGAAATTGGATTGACTTCTGTTGCGCCGTAGATGGACTGCACTGGACTGGATTGTATGAACAGTGGGATACTGTCATTGCCTTGCCTGACTCTCATCATTTCTTTTTTTACTTTCTATTTCTCCACGGGTCGTCAAGGGGCCGAGACGAAGAAGATTTTCATCATCACCCTCACAAGGAGAGCCAGAGTCGGGGAGAAAGCGTGGACTATTCTACCCCTTCCTTTTCCATACATCCGTCCCGTCACCCTTTCCCGTCCTCTTCCTCCCCCCTTTTCCTCTTCTTCCCAGAGGCTTCCACCTCCTCTCTCCCGGGGACTGTCAACTTAACAAACCCTCGCTCGGTAAATGTATAAATCTACGGTTTCCCAATCTACATCTCCGCAACCAGTGTCTTCAGCTCCTCCTTCAAGTCCTCCGTGGTCTTCTGGTACCCGGAGCCGGGCTCGATCAGGTGTTCGAAGTCGGCGTTGTAGCGGTTGTTCTCTTCGAAGATGCCGTAAGTTCCTAGCATGTTGTATGCTTTTTGTTATCGGCCGGGGCGGACCCGAGGAAGTTAGATGATCAATTTGTTCTTGTTTTATGGAACGAGCGAACGGGGTAGGAGGAAGAGGAGGAGAATAGTAAAGAAGGGGAAGAGGGTGCAGGAAGGGGCGTAAGTTCCCTGAGGTCAAAACTTACCAGGAGTCAGCAGCCGCACCTCGACCCCTTTCTGCGTATCCTCGTCCCACATGCGCTTTGCGGTGGCGAAGAACTCATCCAGGTCTACCCGCTGGATCTGCCAGCCCGGCTTGATCTCCTCGAGGATCGGGATTAGCTGGTTCATGCTCACAGTGTGGTCGGCGACGTAGACGGGCCGGTTTGCGAACTTCTCGGGCTGTCGGAGAACGTCACAGACGGCCTTCGCTGCGGTGGATACGCGGCACATGCTGTTTCGCTGGTTGCCGCTGCCGTAGACCATAAGGGTGTTTGTGCGCGGGTTGATCCAATAGTACCCCAGTGGAATGGCTATGTCAAAGGACGAGGCGCGGTCAGCACGGCGTTGCGATTCTACCTCCTGCGTGGGCAATACTACTCACCCCAATCATACCAACCTCCCGTAATAATCGCACTCCAGTTCACCGGCGTGCCTTTCAATTTCTCCTCCAGCACCTTCTGGGCTTCCACCTTGGGGACATACAACGGTAACTCGGTGATGTGCTCGTTGAACGTGTCCCCCGCGAAATCCGGGGTGATGATATGCTTCACCGTGCCCGAGGCGAGACAAGCGTCTACGATGGTAGATTGCATGTGCAGGGCGTTGGGGGGAATCGCTTCGACCACAGCATCTTGTCCCGTAAAGAGGGACGTAAGGTCCGAGAGCGACGTGTAGTCGACGACGGCGGAGATGATGTTGGTCGAGTCTGGGAATTTCTGCCCAGGAGTGCGCGAGGCCGCGGTCACAGTGTAGCCAGCTTCGGCCAGGGCAGTGGTGATGGGTTTGCCGACGTTGCCTGTTGCCTGTATGTGTGTCCCTTGGTGTCAAGATGGATTCTCACATGTGTTGGACCAGCAGAAAAGAAGGCAGGCATTCATACCCCAAGGACAACGACCTTCTTGATAGGGCCAGACATTTCTTTCTCACGGACTGTCTCACAACTAAGAAAGGGCCTATCTCAAGCGACTAGAAAGGATGAGGTGCACGGGTTACCTTTGTTCTAAAACTAGTCTCCTTGAGACACACATGGTGATGGAGAAAAAGGATTCTTTATCAAGCCCCAATATATAGGCCTGGACTCTGGTATCTTCTGGCACGAAAACAGCTGCTGCGCTTGTTGACGTGTCCAGCTAATCCTCATTGGCAGCCCTAGCGAAAATGGAGACTCACCGGTCATCGCTATCGCAGTTTAGATGTTAGCGTTGACCTGCTGTGCAGCGCATTTTGTCCATGAGGAAGGCGCTAGACCATGTCGAACAAGGGCAAGAGACCAAGGTATGAGAGTCGTGTCAGAACTAATGTATGGATGCAAAGAGAGAGGGAGAAGGGAAAAGAAGGACGTGCGTGGGAAATGGTTGTGGTGGTAAAAGCACAGTCATTCATAATGCCGAATTGGGCTTGTGCAGGTGCATATTCAAGTTCAGTTTATGTCAGCAGGAGCAACATCAAATGTATCGATAGGAAGACTAGAGCAAAAGCCAGCCGTTCATGTCAGGGGTGGAATCGAGGAATCAACACCTGTAAGCCGCTGGCAAGACGGGACTTTTGAGAAAGCACGCGGGAGAAAGCAAGTTCGCATTATGTCGGAGTGGCCGGAAGGCTGTGCTGCGAAAGGGGCTGGACGAAACCTCGGACCAGAGAGGGATGCGAGAGAAGAGCAGAGAGAAAGAGAGGGCGGGGCGTCGATATTCTCATTGCACTCGGTAAACGGTCTTGTACATTGCCATTGTCGTCAACTCCCCATGCCGGTGAGAAAAAAAAAAAAGGCAAGCTTCCAATCAAATTGCCCTAACCAAGTCCCAGCTCGTTGCTACCTACGATATCTCTTCAGACGAAGCATGATGTCCGTGCCAAAACAACCAAGCTCGTATCTCGTGTGGTCACCGTAGACTCAATCCGGCGCCTCCTTTTCAAATGCGATGAATAGATCCAATCAGAAACTTATTCCCACCTCAGAATCATGGCCAACCCCAGCCGGAAAAGAATTCAAGTTGTTTCCTGCACCGTCTTGGTAGTGATATTGGCTGTGCTCCTCCTCTAGTAAGCGTGATCCTGCTGCTTTCTCTGTATCTCGTGCATCATCAAAGCTCTGAACCTTTCATCAACAGGTAGACGTGCGATGCAAACCTTCTTCGGGATCCAACCAAGTAAGTCATCTGCTCCTCTCTTTCCTGTTCCGCGAGAGCTTGCTGGAGACCGGGAACGATACTCGGCGTTGTGTTCCCTATCCTTCCCAGAAGCAGCATGTCTTCCCGATAGTCCCACGCGAGAGAAGCGGCTAACTTTGCGACCACGAGCGGGAAGGTCATTACTCATCAGGCCGGAGATGGAGTCTTGGGATGTCATCATTGCTTCTTCATCCGCAAATCGTGACTTTTGGACATGTTGTGACTGACAAATGTTGTTTGATTCAAGGGCACCCTCGCTTGAGATTTTTGACGACACAGCACGAAAGTTGACAGGGATGAATCCGCTCGAGTCGGCGAACGCTCGCCTAGTATAATGGATTTCTGTGGTCAGCTCTTCCTCAAGGGAGGGCAGACCCGCTTTCAAGGCCCTGATCTCCTCAGATTCGATGTTTATGTTCCTCTGCTCTGTCGACGCTTGGCCCAGAGCATTGGTCTCATCCGCCTCTTGTCCTTCGCAGATGATCTCGATCAAGGCCTTCAGCTCGATCTTGACTTGCCGAGCTAATTCCATCAACGTAGTCGCATTCTTCAGGACACCATTGACTCTATATCCATCTTCCTTGTTCTGGTCGTCAACCCGGAGATGTCCACCACAACCGTACTTCGAACTCGTCTCCAAAGCCGCTTTCCTAAGACTCACAATTCGACCCTCGATGTCATAGGACTTGAAGTCGAGAATCTTTGCAGCAAAGTAGATGTCGTTACTGAGAGCCCGGACTGTTTCAGATTGAGCTTGCAAGAAGTCGGCTTCTAGGTGAAGTAGGCCTGAATTGGATGAGACTGCTGCCATGGTGAGATGCGCTTGTAAACAGAGCATAAAATCAAACGAAAACCGAACGAGGAAGACGAGGAAGAATGTGACAGATGGACCTGACCTCGAAACCACGAAAAAGCAGAAAAGACAATTCGAATAGAGGAAGAAATCAATCAAGACTGAGAAGTTTGAATTTCCAGAGCCAAAACAAGAGTGACTTTCTTTCCAGGTATTCAATTCTGTTGTCGCCGAGTGAAGATGTAAATACAGGCCAGTCCCAAGCTTATCCGTCGGATCGTGAACACATCTTTGTTGTATCTCAATGGGAGTTCAGACGTTAGTCACGGCAGTTTTATTAGTCAGGTAGCGTAGTCTGGGCGCTCCCATTGACGTTGAGATGCGTTCCAGACGAAGCCCGCCCCTCCTAGCTGCTTGTTTTGACGTTGCCGTGCCGCTTTGCTGGTGCCACAAAAGGGCGAAGCGATCTTGCCCCTTTTACCATCCAAATATTGCTTGGGAGCTGGCTTGACGGCGTTGGCGGCTCCATGAGAGCTCGTAGGTGCTGATGATTCTCCCTTATCAGACGATCGTGTCGTCTCGGAATCGACGTGGTGATGATCAAAATCCTTGTTACTTGCCGATTCCGGTTCCTGGTCTGAGCTTTCGTCCATGTTTCTCGTATTTCCACCACTATTCTCGTCCTGTGTTTTAGCATTCCGGACCGATTCATCTTCATCATTCTCGTTTGAGAGCGGGTGGTGCTCCGACCTTACACAATCCTTGACAGTGTCAGACCCCTCCGAACTTGCGTCTGGTCCACTCTCATCTTCCTCTCGAACCGCGGATAACTTTCGCTTCAAACCCCGTGTGTCTGGAAACTCCGCTTCAGACTCGCTTTGAGCTGGGTCTATGGATGGTAGCGCGTCCGAAGAACAAGGTGGGCTTTCGGGCTCAGGTGTGGCTGATCTCTGTGTCCGTTCTGATGTAACGAGGAAATACTGGTAAACATCTTCAAGGAATGCCTCCATCTCTTCCATGGTCACCATGCCATCCTCCGAGCGTGTTCTGATATCATTAAAGCGTGCTGCTTTCCGCGGGGCGGATACATACATCGCGTACATGTGTTTGTAAACGGAGAGGGATCGTTCGAATATAGTCTGTATAGCGTCGCGATCATGTTTCGCGAACTCTTGAAGGCCTTCAGCCGTTGTGGTCAGACAGTCGGCTCGATCGTTGAGAAAGTCAATTTGTCCTTGGAGCTCCTTGGTCTGTTCTCGCAGAGCTGCGGCCTGCAGAACAAGTTCATCTACCTGTTGAAAGGCTTGCTGTGGCGTCGTAGACAGAATCATGCGCGTCATAAATCGTGGGAGTGCCGGATCCATGGCTTATGTATGAGAGGAGAGTATTCCTTGAGCTTTCAGTGAGGAGATGTAAAGGTGGAAGGAATTGACAGAATGGACCAACATGTGATCGAGGTACTTTTGTGCCAACCAACTGCCACACCTTCTCCTGGCCTCGTTCTCGGCGCCCTCTGGCCTCGATTGGGACTGTAGGTTGCAAAGGCCGTTTAGAGATGTCTATTTTGTTCATTTTGTCGGGGTCCAGAGTTCGGGTGCAGCTAGACTGTTCTTTTTGTACTCGGCCATTTGTGCTTCAAGTTCTTCCAGGTTCCCCGAGAAAGGATCCTTGACCGGCTCCCGTCGCACTTCCCAGACGTCTTCGCTGCTCGGACCAGTCTTCCATTTAACTGCCTTCTTACGGTAATGTTCCTGTATGGCTCTCTCGCGATCTTCCTTTTTCCAGTTTCGTGTCTTCATGCACAGCCAAAAGTCATCCCAGTGGTTTGAGCATGAACGAAAAGAGCCATAGCGGTAGACGTTGACAAACTGGCCTCCAAAACTCTGGCAAAACATGGCATAATCGAAGGCGGATCTGCAAGATATCTCGGCTGGGTAGAGGGAATCAGGCGAGATGTCAGAGTGGACTGGCGCTGGATGCGACGGTGCTGCAGGTGATTTGGACTTTGTTCTTTGAGCTTGCTCCACATCTGCTTGTGCTTGAAGCTCCTTCAGGAACTCCGTCCATTCTCGATCACTCTGCTCATCCCGGGTGAGGCTGCGCTTGATGGGTTCGGTGACTGGAGCGGGAGCGACAGTGGTCACCTCTTCCTGGGCGGGCGAGGTGGACAGAGCATTCACACTGCTGCTATCGCTGCTCGAGGCAGGCTTCTGCTTCCACCACCAGCTCATCCTGGCACGGTTGGCTCTTAGAAAGAGGAATAACACGGGTAGATCAATCGCGTTGGAGAACCAAAAAAATAATTGCTGGATCAAGCCACAGGGTGGATGTGCAGCCACAGATCAGCCACAAATGTATTGCTTCGACGTCATCGTCCTGTTCGCGATGATGATGCTGGCTGTCGAGCCGCGCCCATGGTAATAGGAACCGACTAATAAATATACTTTGATCATGCGGAAACTTGCGAATCGATAAGAAAAGGGGATTGTGTTTAGAGCCAGCAGAGCTACGCCATCTGGCTGCAGCAGGATGAGGAGATAGACCACAAATTCTCTTATGACGCTCTGGCTATGGGCAGCATGATTCCGTCGAGATTTGTTCGAACCTCCTTCGGGCGGCCTACATCTCCCCTAACGAGCTTTTCGAGACGACAGCAGCTCTACCCTTGGAGGGCTGCTTCCCCGACAGCCAGACTCGCCGCAGCCCCGGCAGGAAAGAGGTGGACGTCTACTGAAGCCGGTGACAATGAATCAGGCCACATTCTGACCCAGAAAAATGAAGGAATCTTTTTTTTCGATAGTGAGACCGATCTGTCGACCCCTCTCTCTGCGCAATCTACTGACCCCAAGGCAGATGTCTTCCCGTTGAAGCTGCAATGGCTCAACCGGATCCCCTACCTGAATCCTGACAAGTTCCTGGAGACCTCCCTCAGCAAAGTCAATCAGCCCAATCTTGCTCTGGCCGATCCTTCTAGTATCATAAAGCGAGCCCTGCCTGAAAACCTCCCCCTCCACGTCACAAAGATCTTACCGAGACTACGCGAAGGCGGAGCCTTTGTCAAGTTCTCTCATGAAGAAGGAATAACTGCCGGGGAGTTGGAAAGCACACTGAAACAGTATCTCGATGAAAAGCCCATTACACCTTGGTTCAACCCTTTTCGGAGGGTTCGCGCCTTCTTGGTGCAAGGAAAGCCGTGGATCGAAGATCTATATCGCGTCCCTACTCCCCGGATCAAGGTCGAATTCTTGCCTACGGCCCCTGAGAATTCTGCGGCCGAACTGACCCAAGAGACGCTTTATTCCTTGTTCCGCAGGTATGGAAAGCTCACAGAGATCGTGTCACAACCGTCCGACTCGAAAGTCGTGCCAAAATATGCTTATGTCGATTACACTCGCGTGAGATTCGCAACGATGGCCAAGAATTGTATGCATGGCTACGTGCTCCCAGCCGAAGATGGCGGAGGAAAGACCGGGACGCTGCTCAAGTTGAGTTACGAGTCCAAACGAAAAACTCACTGGATATGGGACTGGATGACGAACCATCCCAGGATTGTTATCCCTTTGTTGGTCGCTCTACTGACAGCAGCGTCCGTTGCCGTGTTCGACCCTATCAGAACTTTCTTCATCAGGATGCACATCACCCACGGTCTTCACCTGGAAGATCGTCGATTTTTCAAGTGGGTTAGAAGCCAGCTTCTGCGAGGTTACGACATCATCAGATTCCGAAAAGAGAAGCGTGAAGATGACAACCTGAAAATCGTCTGGGAAGATCGCCAAGATGCCATTAACCAGTTGAAGACGTGGTTGATTGAGACTGCCGACACCTTTATCGTGGTTCAAGGGCCACGTGGGGCTGGGAAGAAGGAGTTGGTTGTAGATCAAGCGTTGAAAGATCGCCCACACAAACTAGTGATTGATTGCAAGAAAATCCAGGAAGCCCGCGGAGACAGCAATACCATTGCCGCGGCCGCGGCCGAAGTAGGCTACCGCCCAGTCTTTTCATGGATGAACAGCATTAGCAGCATGGTTGATCTTGCAGCAACAGCCACTATTGGCACAAAAGCAGGATTCTCCGAGACATTGGACAATCAACTCGCTAAGATTTGGGGCAACACGACGACTGCATTGAAGCAGATTGCACTGGCGCCGCGCAAAAAGGAAGACAAAGACGCCCAACTGGCAGACGACGAGTGGCTGGAAGCTCATCCAGAGTGTCGACCCGTGGTGGTGATTGACAACTTCTTGCACAAAAACAACGAGGGTTCGGCGAGCATGGTCTATGACAAACTGGGAGAATGGGCTGCTGTCTTGACGACGCAGAACATTGCCCATGTCATTTTCCTGACCACCGACGTGTCCTTCTCCAAGTCGCTCAGTAAAGCACTGCCCGACAGGGTTTTCCGGCAAATCACGTTGAGTGATTGTACACCTGAAGTAGCAAAGAAGCTCGTCATCAAACATCTGGACGCAGACATCGAAGATGCTGCATTGGGGGAGGAGAAGCTCAGTCCGTCCCAATTGAGAAGTGATCTCGATGAGCTGGACGGAGTGATTCAAGTGCTCGGAGGTCGACTGACAGATCTAGAGTTCCTTGCACGAAGGATCAAGACAGGCGAATCGCCAGGGAGTACGTGATTTGGCCCATTCGTCTTTCAATCCTTACTGACAAAAGAAAAACAGAAGCGGTTCGTCAAATCATTGAGCAATCCGCATCGGAGATCCTAAAAATGTATCTTCTCGACGTCGACACTTCGAGCCGCAAATGGACACCTCAGCAAGCATGGCTGTTGATCAAAGAGCTTGCTGCTAATGAGACTCTCAGATACAATGAGCTGCTGCTCAACGATCTTTTCAAGGATGGCGAAACAGTGTTGCAAGCTCTCGAACAGGCAGAATTGATTACAATCACGTCCAAGAATGGGCGCCCGTATAGCATCAAGCCAGGCAAACCTGTCTACCAATCAGCATTCGAATACCTGACCGAGGACGACGTCCTCAGGGCGAGATTGGATTTGGCGATTATGTCCCAATTGATCAGCTTGGAAAACAAAAACGTGGAGAAGTACGAGGCGGAGTTGAAGACGCTGGCCGAGATGCCTGGGACACCGAGCGAGTTGAGACCCCGGATCAAATGGTGTCTCGGTAAAGCGATGGCCAGCCAGGAGAAGATCATGAAGTACGAGGCACAAAGCGGGAAGCTGAAGAAGGTGCTCTCCGAACAGTTTTGAATCTAGGTGTCCGAGTGCCAGCAAGGTGCCAACTTTTCTCCTCAGTTCGGCTTGTTCGATAGTCTTATCGAGCGAGTGAAGACTCAATATATTTATATGTACTGTAACCACAATCCCTTTGGGGGCGCTTGTTACTTGAATCTGACCGGATTGGTTTTGAGTTTGGTAGGATTCCTCGTGCAATGGAAATACCGCTCGTTGATTCGACGGGCAGATGATTGAACAGGGATTGGTGTGCTAGGCTCCATGTCAGCACCTTGTGAGGTCGGAGATGTTTGGACCGAGTACACGCCAGATAATATCATCGACAGCAGCCACCAAGTATTACTAGCAGGTCAGGCTTCCCAACACTCGCTGCTCGCTTTGCACACACACGCACACGCACATGCACACGCACACGCACATGCACACGCACACGCACATGCACACGCACACATGAGCTCAGAACCAGAAAGGGCTTAGGTTACGACATACTCTACGGACGGAGGTCGTCGTTCGTCACTCACCCACGCGCTTCATCATTCCTTCATAAGTCGGGGCTTGAGCTCGCTTTCAGGGGGACGAGTACGAGCACCTTACAGCCCGTGTCCAAAACGGCTTCGGTATCGGCCGCGGCAGCGACGGTGACAGTGACAGCGCTTCCATACGTCCGCATTTGTCGCACACCGCATTGATTCTGGATTTACAAGAGAGACATATTATTCTACCTCCAACCGTGCCTCGCCCTCTCGATAATTTCCACACAGACTACGTACTCCGTTTCTAAGAGGAACTCCAATCGCATTGACCAGCTTTGTCCCGAAAGATGGACATCTCACAGCACGAGCGAAGTTCCTCGTTTCTCCAACAGGCCTTGACGACTGCCGTCCAACGTCCATTTCAAACACTGTTCGCCGTCTTCTTCGTCATCTGCGCCGTCACGCGCATCGTCACAAGCCTACAGTACCGCTCCACAGTTTCAAAACAGGCTGAAGCAGCCGGAGGGTCGACGGGTCCTCGAACCGTGCCCGTTCTCCCCTACTGGATTCCATGGATCGGCCACGCATTCTCGTTCGTCGTGGGCGGGACGGATTTTCTCACCCGAGCTGCGCGTTCATTGGGACCCAATGCGTCAATCTATGCTCTGAAGATGGCCAA